GGCCCCCATTGGCCCTGAGATCTGAGAGTGTGTGTGTGAGCCAGATTCACCAGCGGCCCCCGCCGGCCCTGAGATCTGAGAGTGTGTGTGTGAGCCAGATTCACCAGCGGCCCCCATCGGCGCTGAGATCTGAGAGTGTGTGTGTGAGCCAGATTCACCAGCGGCCCCCGTCGGCCCTGAGATCTGAGAGTGTGTGTGAGAGCCAGATTCACCAGCGGCCCCCATCGGCCCTGAGATCTGAGAGTGTGTGTGACAGCCAGATTCACCAGCGGCCCCCATCGGCCCTGAGATCTGAGAGTGTGTGTGTGAACCAGATTCCCCAGCGGCCCCCATCGGCCCTGAGATCTGAGAGTGTGTGTGAAAGCCAGATTCACCAGCGGCCCCCGCCGGCACTGAGATCTGAGAGTGTGTGTGAGAGCCAGATTCACCAGCGGCCCCCGCCGGCCCTGAGATCTGAGAGTGTGTGTGTGAGCCAGATTCACCAGCGGCCCCCATCGGCGCTGAGATCTGAGAGTGTGTGTGTGAGCCAGATTCACCAGCGGGCCCCATCGGCCCTGAGATCTGAGAGTGTGTGTGTGAGCCAGATTCACCAGCGGCCCCCATCGGCCCTGAGATCTGAGAGTGTGTGTGTGAGCCAGATTCCCCAGCGGCCCCCATCGGCCCTGAGATCTGAGAGTGTGTGTGAGAGCCAGATTCACCAGCGGCCCCCATCGGCCCTGAGATCTGAGAGTGTGTGTGAGAGCCAGATTCACCAGCGGCCCCCGCCGGCCCTGAGATCTGAGAGTGTGTGTGTGAGCCAGATTCACCAGCGGCCCCCATCGGCGCTGAGATCTGAGAGTGTGTGTGAGAGCCAGATTCATCAGCGGCCCCCATCGGCGCTGAGATCTGAGAGTGTGTGTGTGAGCCAGATTCACCAGCGGCCCCCATCGGCCCTGAGATCTGAGAGTGTGTGTGAGAGCCAGATTCACCAGCGGCCCCCATCGGCGCTGAGATCTGAGAGTGTGTGTGTGAGCCAGATTCACCAGCGGCCCCCATCGGCCCTGAGATCTGAGAGTGTGTGTGTGAGCCAGATTCACCAGCGGCCCCCATCGGCCCTGAGATCTGAGAGTGTGTGTGAGAGCCAGATTCACCAGCGGCCCCCGCCGGCCCTGAGATCTGAGAGTGTGTGTGAGAGCCAGATTCACCAGCGGCCCTGAGATCTGAGAGTGTGTGTGTGAGCCAGATTCACCAACGGCCCCCATCGGCCCTGAGATCTGAGAGTGTGTGTGAGAGCCAGATTCACCAGCGGCCCCCGCCGGCCCTGAGATCTGAGAGTGTGTGTGTGAGCCAGATTCACCAGCGGCCCCCGCCGGCCCTGAGATCTGAGAGTGTGTGTGTGAGCCAGATTCACCAGCGGCCCCCATCGGCCCTGAGATCTGAGAGTGTGTGTGAGAGCCAGATTCACCAGCGGCCCCCGCCGGCCCTGAGATCTGAGAGTGTGTGTGAGAGCCAGATTCACCAGCGGCCCCCATCGGCCCTGAGATCTGAGAGTGTGTGTGAGAGCCAGATTCACCAGCGGCCCCCGCTGGCCCTGAGATCTGAGAGTGTGTGTGAGAGCCAGATTCACCAGCGGCCCCCGCCGGCCCTGAGATCTGAGAGTGTGTGTGTGAGCCAGATTCACCAGCGGCCCCCATCGGCCCTGAGATCTGAGAGTGTGTGTGAGAGCCAGATTCACCAGCGGCCCCCGCCGGCCCTGAGATCTGAGAGTGTGTGTGAGAGCCAGATTCACCAGCGGCCCCCATCGGCCCTGAGATCTGAGAGTGTGTGTGAGAGCCAGATTCACCAGCGGCCCCCATCGGCCCTGAGATCTGAGAGTGTGTGTGTGAGCCAGATTCCCCAGCGGCCCCCATCGGCCCTGAGATCTGAGAGTGTGTGTGTGAGCCAGATTCACCAACGGCCCCCATCGGCCCTGAGATCTGAGAGTGTGTGTGAGAGCCAGATTCACCAGCGGGCCCCATCGGCCCTGAGATCTGAGAGTGTGTGTGTGAGCCAGATTCCCCAGCGGCCCCCATCGGCCCTGAGATCTGAGAGTGTGTGTGAGAGCCAGATTCACCAGCAGCCCTGAGATCTGAGAGTGTGTGTGAGCGCCAGATTCACCAGCGGCCCCCGCCGGCCCTGAGATCTGAGAGTGTGTGTGTGAGCCAGATTCACCAGCGGCCCCCATTGGCCCTGAGATCTGAGAGTGTGTGTGTGAGCCAGATTCACCAGCGGCCCCCGCCGGCCCTGAGATCTGAGAGTGTGTGTGTGAGCCAGATTCACCAGCGGCCCCCATCGGCGCTGAGATCTGAGAGTGTGTGTGTGAGCCAGATTCACCAGCGGCCCCCGTCGGCCCTGAGATCTGAGAGTGTGTATGAGAGCCAGATTCACCAGCGGCCCCCATCGGCCCTGAGATCTGAGAGTGTGTGTGACAGCCAGATTCACCAGCGGCCCCCATCGGCCCTGAGATCTGAGAGTGTGTGTGTGAACCAGATTCCCCAGCGGCCCCCATCGGCCCTGAGATCTGAGAGTGTGTGTGAGAGCCAGATTCACCAGCGGCCCCCGCCGGCACTGAGATCTGAGAGTGTGTGTGAGAGCCAGATTCACCAGCGGCCCCCGCCGGCCCTGAGATCTGAGAGTGTGTGTGTGAGCCAGATTCACCAGCGGCCCCCATCGGCGCTGAGATCTGAGAGTGTGTGTGTGAGCCAGATTCACCAGCGGGCCCCATCGGCCCTGAGATCTGAGAGTGTGTGTGTGAGCCAGATTCACCAGCGGCCCCCATCGGCCCTGAGATCTGAGAGTGTGTGTGTGAGCCAGATTCCCCAGCGGCCCCCATCGGCCCTGAGATCTGAGAGTGTGTGTGAGAGCCAGATTCACCAGCGGCCCCCATCGGCCCTGAGATCTGAGAGTGTGTGTGAGAGCCAGATTCACCAGCGGCCCCCGCCGGCCCTGAGATCTGAGAGTGTGTGTGTGAGCCAGATTCACCAGCGGCCCCCATCGGCCCTGAGATCTGAGAGTGTGTGTGTGAGCCAGATTCACCAGCGGCCCCCGCCGGCCCTGAGATCTGAGAGTGTGTGTGTGAGCCAGATTCACCAGCGGCCCCCATCGGCGCTGAGATCTGAGAGTGTGTGTGAGAGCCAGATTCACCAGCGGCCCCCATCGGCGCTGAGATCTGAGAGTGTGTGTGAGAGCCAGATTTACCAGCGGGCCCCATCGGCGCTGAGATCTGAGAGTGTGTGTGTGAGCCAGATTCACCAGCGGCCCCCATCGGCCCTGAGATCTGAGAGTGTGTGTGAGAGCCAGATTCACCAGCGGCCCCCATCGGCGCTGAGATCTGAGAGTGTGTGTGTGAGCCAGATTCACCAGCGGCCCCCCATCGGCCCTGAGATCTGAGAGTGTGTGTGTGAGCCAGATTCACCAGCGGCCCCCATCGGCCCTGAGATCTGAGAGTGTGTGTGTGAGCCAGATTCCCCAGCGGCCCCCATCGGCCCTGAGATCTGAGAGTGTGTGTGTGAGCCAGATTCACCAGCGGCCCCCGCCGGCCCTGAGATCTGAGAGTGTGTGTGTGAGCCAGATTCACCAGCGGCCCCCATCGGCCCTGAGATCTGAGAGTGTGTGTGAGAGCCAGATTCACCAGCGGCCCCCGCCGGCCCTGAGATCTGAGAGTGTGTGTGTGAGCCAGATTCACCAGCGGCCCCCATCGGCCCTGAGATCTGAGAGTGTGTGTGAGAGCCAGATTCACCAACGGCCCCCGCCGGCCCTGAGATCTGAGAGTGTGTGTGTGAGCCAGATTCACCAACGGCCCCCGCTGGCCCTGAGATCTGAGAGTGTGTGTGAGAGCCAGATTCACCAGCGGCCCCCGCCGGCCCTGAGATCTGAGAGTGTGTGTGAGAGCCAGATTCACCAGCGGCCCCGCCGGCGCTGAGATCTGAGAGTGTGTGTGAGAGCCAGATTCACCAGCGGCCCCCGCCGGCCCTGAGATCTGAGAGTGTGTGTGAGAGCCAGATTCACCAGCGGCCCCCGCCGGCCCTGAGATCTGAGAGTGTGTGTGTGAGCCAGATTCACCAGCGGCCCCCATCGGCCCTGAGATCTGAGAGTGTGTGTGAGAGCCAGATTCACCAGCGGCCCCCGCCGGCCCTGAGATCTGAGAGTGTGTGTGAGAGCCAGATTCACCAGCGGCCCCCATCGGCCCTGAGATCTGAGAGTGTGTCAGAGCCAGATTCACCAACGGCCCCCATCGGCCCTGAGATCTGAGAGTGTGTGTGAGAGCCAGATTCACCAGCGGCCCCCGCCGGCCCTGAGATCTGAGAGTGTGTGTGTGAGCCAGATTCACCAGCGGCCCCCGCCGGCCCTGAGATCTGAGAGTGTGTGTGTGAGCCAGATTCACCAGCGGCCCCCATCGGCCCTGAGATCTGAGAGTGTGTGTGTGAGCCAGATTCACCAGCGGCCCCCGCCGGCCCTGAGATCTGAGAGTGTGTGTGTGAGCCAGATTCACCAGCGGCCCCCGCCGGCCCTGAGATCTGAGAGTGTGTGTGAGAGCCAGATTCACCAGCGGCCCCCATCGTCCCTGAGATCTGAGAGTGTGTGTGTGAGCCAGATTCACCAGTGGCCCCCATCGGCCCTGAGATCTGAGAGTGTGTGTGTGAGCCAGATTCACCAGCGGCCCCCGCTGGCCCTGAGATCTGAGAGTGTGTGTGTGAGCCAGATTCACCTGTGGCCCCCGCCGGCCCTGAGATCTGAGAGTGTGTGTGAGAGCCAGATTCACCAACGGCCCCCGCCGGCCCTGAGATCTGAGAGTGTGTGTGTGAGCCAGATTCACCAGCGGCCCCCATCGGCCCTGAGATCTGAGAGTGTGTGTGTGAGCCAGATTCACCAGCGGCCCCCATCGGCCCTGAGATCTGAGAGTGTGTGTGAGAGCCAGATTCACCAGCGGCCCCCGCCGGCCCTGAGATCTGAGAGTGTGTGTGTGTGAGAGCCAGATTCACCTGCGGCCCCCGTCGGCCTGTCTGCGTGTGCTCCAGATGCGCTGCAGGCCCCACTGGACCCATGTCTCCTCTGGGCCCCTGGGGACCCGGCGGCCCCCGGACCCCCTTCTCACCGCGATCACCTGAAACACCACCAATATGAGCTGAAATACTTCATTCCAGGTGTTCTGACATTTAAAACTAAATATCCTGAGTCATTGTTTTGAGTAATTCATGTAGAAGCATTTATTAATCTTAGGTGTTGTTCATGGGCCGTATTCACAAAGAATTTTAAGGCTAAAAGTAGATCCTAACTGGCGAATTTAGGAGCAACTCCTAAAAATAATGCACGTGTCACTCCTAACTTTAGGACTCCTAATTTTTTTCAGTAAGAGTAATTCACGAAGCATTTTAGCCCTAAAAGTAGCAGCTAAGTCTGGGACAGCTTAAAAGAAGTCGAGAGGACTCCTAACTCACTAAGACCAATTCACACAGGATTGTAGCGCACACCAGCGCCTCTCCAGTCATCCGGGGTCCGCGACACAAGCGGGAACGCTGCATTGATCTGCAAACAAATCCTCTCCCATTCTCACGCTTAGTTTTGCTTGATATCCCAGTGCCGAATTTAACTTTTATTATGTTTTTTTCTCAGCACCAGCTGGGCCAGCAGCAGTAACTGATCCTGCGTCCAGCTGGGCTTTCTTTTCCATTTAGGCGAGTTCATAATCCACCGTCATTCAACTATTACATTACTTCAATAGGAGCAACATTTCCTTGCTTTAGGTAGTCTATTTAGGCTAATATAGGATGTCAATTAACCAATCAAGTGTTAATGCAAGTGTTGTTTTTCATTATTAGGCAAGTGGAGGTCATTAGGGTATTAGGCTACCTTAATTTAATTTAATTCACGACTTTTCTCTCTCTCTGCCTTTTTAGAATTACACTTCACTGGGGCCTGCACAAACATGTCATTATATATGCATTTCGATGACATTACTATTATTATGTTGTGTAGGACACAGACATATTTAGATGTCCTAAATCCATGATTTGTTGCGTCTGTGTTATGTTCCGCATGATGGCCCTGTCATCTAACAACCAATCACCGTGATCATTGCGAGGAAGCTCGTGCATGAGAAGTGACGTCATCCATAGCAACGAAGACTCACTCTTAGTTTAGGAGTTGTCATTTTTCCTTACTAAGAGGAGGTCTGAAAAGCGTTGTGAATAACTTTTAAGAGAAAACTCCTAGCTAAAATATTTTAGTGCGATTTAGGAGTACTTTATTGGTAAGATAAGATTCTTTGTGAATACGAATGAATGAATTGTTAGTTAGTGATCTTATTGTTAAGTGTTATGCGTGTGTGTGTGTGTGTGTGTGTGTGTGTGTGTGTGTGTGCGTGTGTGTGTACCTGGCAGACCAGGGGGTCCCGGAGGTCCTGCTGGTCCAGTGACGGTGAGAATATCAGGATTTTTCCCAGTTCTCTCGTGAGCCGGGTTGTGGCTGTTGTGTTCAGGACTGGGAGACAAACCCTATGCAGATGAGATGTGTTTAAGCTTATCAGCAGTGTGTGTGTGTGTGTGTGTGTGTGTGTGTTAATCTGTGCAGGTGTGTGTGTGTGTGTGTGTGTGTGTGTGTGTGTGTGTGTGTGTGTGTGTGTGTGTGTGTGTGTGCGTGTGTGTATCTGTGCAGGTGTGTGTATGTGTGTGTTACCTGTGCAGGTGTGTGTGTGTGTGTGTGTGTGTGTGTGTTACCTGTGCAGGTGTGTGTGTGTATCTGTGCAGGTGTGTGTATGTTACCTGTGCAGGTGTGTGTGTTACCTGTGCAGGTGTGTGTGTGTGTGTGTGTGTGTGTGTGTGTGTGTGTGTGTGTGTGTGTGTGTGTGTGTGTGTGTGTATGTGTGTGTGTGTGTGTGTGTGTGTGTGTGTGTGTGTGTGTGTGTTACCTGTGCAGGTGTGTGTGCGTGTGTATCTGTGCAGGTGTGTGTGTGTGTGTGTGTGTGTGTGTGTGTGTGTGTGTGTGTGTGTGTGTGTGTGTGTTACCTGTGCAGGTGTGTGTGTGTATCTGTGCAGGTGTGTGTGTGTGTGTGTGTGTTACTTGTGCAGGTGTGTGTGTGTGTGTGTGTGTGTGTGTGTGTGTGTGTGTGTGTTACCTGTGCAGGTGTGTGTGCGCGTGTGTGTGTATCTGTGCAGGTGTGTGTGTGTGTGTGTTACCTGTGCAGGTGTGTGTGTTACCTGTGCAGGTGTGTGTGTGTGTGTGTGTGTGTTACCTGTGCAGGTGTGTGTGTTACCTGTGCAGGTGTGTGTGTGTGTGTTACCTGTGCAGGTGTGTGTGCGTGTGTGTGTGTGTGTATCTGTGCAGGTGTGTGTGTGTGTGTGTGTGTGTGTTACCTGTGCAGGTGTGTGTGTGTGTGTGTTACCTGTGCAGGTGTGTGTGTGTGTGTTACCTGTGCAGGTGTGTGTGTGTGTATCTGTGCAGGTGTGTGTGTGTTACCTGTGCAGGTGTGTGTGTGTGTGTGTGTGTTACCTGTGCAGGTGTGTGTGCGTGTGTGTGTATCTGTGCAGGTGTGTGTGTGTGTGTGTGTGTGTGTGTGTGTGTGTGTTACCTGTGCAGGTGTGTGTCCCAGCAGGAGTGTGATCTCCAGTAAACTGCTCCTCATGTTCATGAAGTCTCGACAGCTGAGAGAACATGATCCAGAGCTCATCTGAGTCTCAGACTTTAGGGAGGAAATCACTGAGAGACACACACACACACTTTACACATGCTGACTGCACATATTAATATCAGGAGAAATAAAAGAAAAAAAAATAGTATAATGAAGTAAGTCTTCTGCTCACCAAGGTTCCATTTATTTGAGAGACACACTCTCTCACACACACACACCTGCACAGAACACACACACACACACACACACACTTACGGTCACAGGAGCGCTGGTCTGCTGTCAGTGTGTATCCAGCATTACAGCTGCAACGGAAGCTTCCAGGAGTGTTTTCACACACGTGTTCACACACACTCTTTGATTCTTCACACTCATCCACATCTGGACCACAGCGAGTGAGAGAGAGAGAGATGGATGAGTGTGTGTGTGTGTGTTTGAACACAGCATGCTTCATCATGTGACCACTGACCGATGCAGTATGGGTGCAGGTGTTGGCGATGTCTCTCGCGGTGGAAGCGGTAACCATGGAAACACGTGCACAACACTCGCCCGAAGTTATCAGTGCACTGTTGCTCACAGGGAGAGCCGGCACACACATCCAGACCTGCACACACACACACACACCCCGTCAACACACACATCCAGACCTGCACACACACCGTCAACACACACATCCAGACCTGCACACACACACACACACACCCCGTCAACACACACATCCAGACCTGCACACACACACACACACACACACCGTCAACACACACATCCAGACCTGCACACACACACACACACACCGTCAACACACACATCCAGACCTGCACACACAGACACACACACACACACACACACCGTCAACACACACATCCAGACCTGCACACACACACACCGTCAACACACACATCCAGACCTACACACACATCCAGACCTGCACACACACACACTGTCAACACACACATCCAGACCTGCACACACACACAAACACACACACACACACCGTCAACACACACATCCAGACCTGCACACACACACACCGTCAACACACACATCCATACCTGCACACACACACACACACACACACACACACACACCATCAACACACACATCCAGACCTGCACACACACCGTTAACACACACATCCATACCTGCACACACACACACACACACACACACACACACACACACCATCAACACACACATCCAAACCTGCACACACACACACACAGTCAACACACACATCCAGACCTGCACACACACACACACCGTCAACACACACATCCAGACCTGCACACACACACACCATCAACACACACATCCAGACCTGCACACACACACACACACACTGTCAACACACACATCCAGACCTGCACACACACACACACACACCATCAACACACACATCCAGACCTGCACACACACACACACACACACACACACACACACACCCCATCAACACACACATCCAGACCTGCACACACACACCGTCAGCAGCACACACACACACCATCAACACACACACACAATCAACACACACATCCAGACCTGCACACACACACACACACACACACACACCGTCTGTCTTCACTTCATGTCTCCCGTCATATTTCGGATCCTATGATGTTGCTCTTACTCATGCTGTTCACTGTTCATAATCAACATAAATGAAATAAAATAACAAAAGCCTATTATAATATTTAAACAAATGTGAAACTGGCAAAGAGCGGATATTGAGCGGACAGTCACGGTGAAAAGTAACTTGAAACTTGTTTTTAAATGGGAAGCGCGTCTTGGTTCACCCTCCGCCTGTCAGAAAATTAATAGGCTATATGCTTTATTACACAAAACGAAACGTTGAAACATTATTATATTTATCAATGACTATATGCTACAGATTGGGGCTGCACGATATTGAAGAAAAATGCGAAATATTATCTTTAAAATAGGCTATATTTAAAATTATATAGCCTAACCCATATAGGCCTACGTGTTTCACAATCTTTTTGTGACAAGAAAACATCGCAACAACTTAAAGTGAACATCAGAGTGTTTTATAATAAGAAGCACTATTTTAACATCAATGTAAACCACGGGGTTTGTTCAGGTTATCCTACATTAGGGATATTTAACAACAGAAACTGAATCAAATGTAAAAAAAAAAAAAAAAAAAAAAAAACACATTAGTTTTCACTGTAGGCCTATTAATTAAATATAGGCCTATACTGATTATTATTAAAGTTACAAAAGTTATTCAGCCAAGAGCAGTGAGTGGTTTTCTCTTGTCTTTTGCTCATGACCAGTTATTGCAAGCCGTTGCGATATGCATATTGCGAAATACATTTGCGATATTTCGATAATTTCGATATATTGTGCAGCCCTTCTACATATGAGGCTTCATATTTTATTGCTATTTGGTATGTATTGTTTTTATCATTGTGTTGTTGGAGGAATTGAAACGTTTTTGTTACTCATTTTTATGAAGTAGGCAATATGTAGCAGGCTATGCAAAAGGATTGTGGTCTAGTTTTGTCTGATGGACTGTCTAACTACTTCAGTAATAATACGGGATCTTATTGTTTTGGTGAGAAGTCTGTTTCTCAGATCAGAATAAAAAAAATGCTTGCCCCCCATATGAAAACGAAATGAGTATACAACATAGTCCTAACAACGATAGAAAACCAATACCCTTAAGACGGATCGCCATTCAGATCTACAATCTACTACGTCTTTCCATCTACTTCATAAGATGGGCTGAACTTTGAGGAAAAGGCTGGGGCTGATTATAATATTATACAAAACGCCGCTTTTTACGCCGTCTTTGTCAGACAGAAGCGCCGCAGATTACGGCGCACTATGGATGGCCTGCGCCGCAGAAACGGCGTCATTGGCTGGATAAAAAAAAATGCTGAATGGAGATAGCTCCAGACGTGCAGACGGGTAGACGTTAAGACGTTAAGACGTGCAGACGTTATCCACACGCACGTTATCACGTCTTTAAGCTTGGTAAGGAATCAAATGACACAAAGCGAGCGCCATAAGATCGACATCCGCTCTCTCTCTCACACCCGTGTTGACGCTCTCACTTTCATTCCTGAGTCGTCTCTGATGGCAGCGCGCGCGCCCTTCAGAGTGCTCTCAGGCGCTCGTCTCCGCAGAGGCGTCTACATGATCAGCGTCATGTTTCATGTTTCTTTCTTATGCCGTTCTTAGCGGGACGCTTGTGAATGTACTACGTCTTACCCGTTTTTCTTTTGTTTCGAGCTGGTGGTATTGGTGTTGGGTTATCACGTTGTTTAGTGTAGGTTTAGCCAGAACAGCAGTCAGCGGACCCGGAAGACTCACCGGAATATTGTCTTTCTTTTTGGACGGGAGGCAGGAGAGAGCTTTGATCCGAAAGACAGCTGTGAGCAGGTTTTTTTTTTCTTTCTGTTTGTTTTACTATTCATTTTACCACCATGCTTTCTTTGTGACTCAATTATTTATCATTTAAACCATTGACAATAAATTGTTTTTGTATTGTCATTTGACGCTTGAGGTGTCGTTTTTATGTGTTATGTTGTCCCTGTTCAAACTCATTTAGTGGGCACGTAACATGCACACACACACACACACACACACACACCGTCAACACACACATCCAGACCTACACACACACACACACACACACACACACACACACACACACACACACATCCAGACCTGCACACACACACACCGTCAGCAGCACACACACACACACACAACGTCAGCACACACTTCATCAGGCTTTTACTAGAATTATTATGACCGCATGAAATCCCAGTTTGAGCTTTTAGCTCATCTATGTGTTAGACTGCTAACAGTGGACTATTCACATTCAGCACACACACACACACACACACACACACACACACACACACACACACACACACACACACCCCATCAACACACACACACCATCAGCACACACACACACACACACACACACACCATCAGCACACACACACCATCAGCACACACACAGCTAAAATAAATAATGTAAAAAATTAAATAAAATTAATAAATGTAAATATACAAAAATAAAATGTAAATAATTAAACCAATAAAAAGAAACTAATAAATAAATACAAATAAACATGATAAAATAAATACATTTAAATAAATTAAAAAAAAATTTAAACATGAATAAAAATGTGAAATAAACAAACAAACAATGAATGAATGATCATATGGGTGACTAGTCTGGTAATATACGTTTCATCATATAAAAAAAATCCATATTTCAGACATGCATAATGACTGATTGTTTACAATCATATAGATGAGCTGAAGATGTACCTACTTTCTGGCACACACTGACCCATCACAAACCTGAAGCCTTCACAGCACGTCCTCCTGCAGACACACAAGAGCTCGCTTACTGCTCCGCTCAGACTATCACAGAAAGTGGACAACATACTCGCACGCATACTCGCTCCATGCATACTCCCACGCATACTCGCATGGCATACTCCCAGGCATAGTCCCAGGCATACTCCCAGGCATACTCCCAGGCATACTCCCAGGCATACTCCCAGGCATACTCGCAGGCATACTCCCAGGCATACTCGCAGGCATACTCCCAGGCATACTCGCAGGCATACTCGCAGGCATACTCCCAGGCATAATCCCAGGCATACTCGCAGGCATACTCCCAGGCATACTCGCAGGCATACTCCCAGGCATACTCCCAGGCATACTCCCAGGCATACTCCCAGGCATACTCGCAGGCATACTCGTAGGCATACTCCCAGGCATACTCCCAGGCATACTCGCAGGCATACTCCCAGGCATACTCGCAGGCATACTCGCAGGCATACTCCCAGGCATACTCCCAGGCATACTCCCAGGCATACTCCCAGGCATACTCGCAGGCATACTCCCAGGCATACTCGCAGGCATACTCGCAGGCATACTCCCAGGCATACTCCCAGGCATACTCGCAGGCATACTCCCAGGCATACTCCCAGGCATACTCCCAGGCATACTCCCAGGCATACTCCCAGGCATACTCCCAGGCATACTCGCAGGCATACTCGCAGGCATACTCCCAGGCATACTCCCAGGCATACTCCCAGGCATACTCCCAGGCATACTCCCAGGCATACTCCCAGGCATACTCGCAGGCATACTCGCAGGCATACTCCCAGGCATACTCGCAGGCATACTCGCAGGCATACTCCCAGGCATACTCGCAGGCATACTCGCAGGCATACTCCCAGGCATACTCGCAGGCATACTCCCAGGCATACTCGCAGGCATACTCCCAGGCATACTCCCAGGCATACTCCCAGGCATACTCCCAGGCATACTCGCAGGCATACTCCCAGGCATACTCCCAGGCATACTCGCATGGTGTACTCGCATGGGATAGTCCTAAAATGGTTCAGGTCATACTTAGAAGGGAGAGGTTATTATGTGAGTATAGGAGACCATAAGTCTGAGTGGACATCCATGACTTGCGGAGTCCCTCAAGGCTCAATTCTTGCGCCACTCCTGTTCAACATGTATATGCTCCCAATGAGCCAAATAATGAGAAAGAACCGAATTGCTTACCACAGCTATGCAGACGACACACAGCTCTACTTAGCCCTATCGCCTAACGACTACAGCCCCATTGACTCCCTGTGCCAATTCATTGATGAAGTAAACAGTTGGATGTGCCAAAACTTTCTTCAGTTAAACAAAGACAAAACTGAAGTCATTGCGTTTGGAAACAAAGATGAAGTTTTCAAGGTGAACGCATACCTTGACGCTAAGGGTTTAACAACTAGTCAAGTCAAGTCAAGTCAAGTCATCTTCATTTATATAGCGCTTTTAACAATGTAGATTGTTTCAAAGCAGCTTTACAGAGATAAACATCCAATTTACGGTAACAGAGATTGTTTTGGCTTTATAGTGATTTTTGAATAATGTTATTTCCAGCTAAAGTTAGTTTTGATTGATTCACTTCCAGCTAAATTATCATTTGTTATTACATTAGGAGCCGCTAAGACGACTGCGTTAACTAAAAATCAAGTCAGGAATCTTGGTGTGTCTCTAGAGTCAGATCTTAGTTTCAGTAGTCATGTCAAAGCAATAACTAAATCAGCATACTATCATCTGAAAAATATTGCAAGAATTAGATGCTTTGTTTCCAGTCAAGACTTAGAGAAACTTGTGCATGCTTTCATCACCAGCAGGGTGTATTATTGTAATGGACTCCTCACTGGCCTTCCTAAAAAGACCATAAGACAGTTGCAGCTCAAACAGAACGCTGAGCAGAACCAGAACACATGAACACATCACACCAGTCCTCAGGTCTTTACACTGGCTCCCAGTTACATTTAGGATTGATTTTAAAGTATTATTACTGGTATATAAATCATTTAATGGCCTAGGACCTCAATATATTGCAGATATGCTCACTGAATATAAACCTAACAGATCACTCAGATCATTAGGATCACATCAGCTAGAAAAACCAAGGGTTCACTCTAAACATGGAGAGTCTGCTTTTAGCTATTATGCCAGCCGCATCTGGAACCAGCTTCCAGAGGAGATCAGATGTGCTCCTACAGTAGTCACTTTCAAATCCAGACTCAAAACACTTCTGTTTAGCTATGCATTTACTGAATGAGCACTGTGCCACTGCTCGTCCGACTGTTTGTACTGTACTTTATTTAATTTTTTATTGTAAACTGTTTTAATTATTCTTATTTCTTTTGATTATTTAAATTTATTCTATTGTAAAGCACTTTGAATTACCATTGTGTATGAAATGTGCTATATAAATAAACTTGCCTTGCCTACATACTTGCATTCACACTTGTATTCTTAGTACATAGTTGCATTCTTGCATACATATATACATACTTGCATACATACTTTCATTCTTGCATACATAAATGCATTTATACTAAATGTACTAAAGTTTTTCTTTGATAAAAACATGTGATGGACATGTGAAAAACAGTCCATTAAAATACGCTTCAAAAGAAGGCACTCTGACACATCTGATTGTGTGTGTGTGTGTGTGTGTGTGTTTATTTTCTCAACACTCGTCCACCAAGTCAGACCCAAGAGACGGTCTTTCCTCTTTTCATCACTCTATCCATCATGTACTCTCTCTCTCCTGTCATCATTTCAGTTTTCTCCACACTTCATCTCTCTGTACACGGCTTTATTTCTACAGTTGATGTTGCGTTCACATACAGCGTAAGAATCACAACATCCTCATCAGAATCATTTACCGCTTCAGACGACAAAAAGCACATGACGAGCTGTTTGTGTGGATGTCTGTGTCGAGAACATGTCAGATCTGTTCCTGTGACCCTTGACCTCCTGACCTCTGCTGCTCCTTTAGGAATCTGACCTCTCTCAACACACATCTCTCTAACAGAGGGACATCATAGACTTCTATTGTTGTTTAAATCGCTGATTATAATGACTACAGAATAACATAACCAAAACCCTAAAAAGAAAAAACTAAATATTATTCACTTAATATTTATATATAAAATAATTTTACTTTTGAGGATGTCGTGTGTGTCAGATTTAGCTCACTTCTGCTGACAATTTTGTCCTCAAATAAACTTCAACACACACACACACAGACACACACACACACACACACACACTCGCACTTCCACACACACTCTCTCTCTCTCACACACACACACTCATCTGGTCTCCATTTGCACAGAATAACACACACGGCTCAATCAGATCTCACTTTTTTAAATTGATCACTGTATAAGGAAATAAATTCAGTATCAATATTTATGATATCATCATCAGCATGCAGCTCATCATTAGAACTGAGAGCGTCTCCATCAGACTTCTACTACAGACTGTGTGTGTGTGTGTGTGTGTGTACTTCAGCACAGACAGACAGAAGCAGTAAATGAGCACGTGAGAGTTTGTCTCTGGTTGTTCTTCACTCGCACCTCTAGAACACCAGCAGTTTCCCATAAAGCACTGCAACACGGCAGCTGTGATCACAAGAGGAGGATTTACCTTCGGATCTCCTGCCAGGAACACACACACACACACACACACGAGCCTGACGCTCACTCAGTCTGATGTATGAAGCGCATGTATGATGATGTATGAAGTGTGTATGATGATGTGAAGCGTGTATGATGATGTATGAAGTGTGTATGATGCTGTATGATGCGTGTATGATGATGTATGAAGTGTGTAAGATGCTGTGTGAAGCGTGTGACAGTGACGTGTACCTGAGACAGATGCTTCTCTGACCTCCAGCTCTCAAACACGGATACTCCACCATCAGCATCTTATTCTCTGGACAATCCTGTCTGCAAGAGACGGGGAGATTCCCCAAAGAAACACACACACACACACACACACAAATCATATGATGTTTGTATTTTATTTTATTTTTGCAACTTACCATTGTATAATGATTGTCTTGTATTCTCATGTTAACAGACAAAAGCATTAAAGAGAATAGAGAATCACAAGAGCCGCTTTAAGACTTTCACTGCCATCAAAGCATTTTTGGGAGTATTAATGTCACTCATAATGATGAAATGATACTTGAACTGGAGAATCAAATCATTTCTCTTTAAATCAACTTGGATCAGTAACACTTTACAATCACACTAACAATGAACAACACTTCTACAGCAATAATTAATCTCAACATTTACTTATTAAAATCAAAAGTTGTATTTGTGAAAACTTAACGTCTATTCATCCATTCAACATTTTTATTAACTAACATTAATAAATGCTGTAAGAAATATATTGCTCATTATTTAATGCGAATGTAAAGTGTAAACGTTGAGATGATCTGGGATCAGATGAGACACAGATGCACAAACACTCACTGCGAGGCGTCAGACGCGTCCACGCCGCGCGTCCACAGAAACACGCACACGACGCCAAATGTTGCACGCGAAAGTCGCGTCATTTCCTTCCCGGATTCACTGTCAGACGATTCCACGCGTCCCACGAAACTAAAGAACTTAATCAAAGAAAGAAAGAAAAGATAAATTCAGTGTGTTATCTCTCAGCTGTGAGCGCGCACTGATACACACTTCAGCACAGAACACACACGACAGATGAAGCCCCGCCTCTTACACACACCTAACACTGTGCAACTCATCAATAATTCAGTGCCTAACTTTAATTGAAACATGAACATATTTTTATATATATAAAGATGCTTGCGTTTTTTATTAATATTAACCTACATGTTAAGGTTACTCTCACAATCACAGCACATTAAAAGTGTAAAGTCCATATCAAATCCTGCAATATTGGATTGTCTATAAATATTACGGTATAAAACTACATTTGATTGATTTTTTTTTTCATGTGTGAAATGTGTAATCTATATTCTGATAATAATCCCGAACAACACACATCAGCATCACAAAAATAAATATTTCTTCTATAAAAAATTAAATTTGAAGTTGAACCTGACCAATATGTTTTCGAATTATACTGCATATGAAATTATAGTTTTACTTGATTAAAATCAGTTAAATGATAAATAATTTCTTGCGCTCAGTGTTGGTGAGTAAATCAGCTTTATTATTTATTATCATAATTCCTGTTTGAGATGGAAATCGTTCCTTTAAATGGATCAAACTCACATTCATCTTGGAGCATTTTCACGATTAATTTCAAAGCAATTTGATTAAATATCAACAATATGATTAGTTTGTGGATTTAAAAGATTTACCCTCTTGGAAACAGCAAAGAAATATGAAATATATGGAGATACACGTTATAAATGTCGTCATGTTTCAGTGTCTGAGGGTTCAGTTCACTTTAGTTTTTTCATTGTAAAAATGTTTGTTTGGTTATTGTTTTGGTTATTCCTCAGTGAGTTATGTGATCATAACCATATCCTGATGCTCTGAACACATGCTTGCTCATGACTAATGAGTGTTTTTGACAAGAACCGCCCAAACCCAAACCCAAACCAGAACCCCCCCCCCCCCCCCCCCCCCCACCCCCCACACAAACACACACACACACACACACCAGAACTCTCTCCCAGAGCGCTTCGTAAAGCTGCGTTATTAAACACCACAGAGAGACGAGGAGGCTTTGGTGTGTTCCTGCTAAACCGCACTCTTCCCACGGGATCCGGCTGGTTCTGTTATGATGGATGTGATTCTGAGCTTTATACTGGCAATATGTTGATAGTCCACTTTACAAGTAACTTTGCAACTACAGGTCAATAACTCTCATTAGAACCACATCAAAAAACATAATATTCTATAATCTCTTGACAACTGATGTGTTTAATGCTCTTGTCCATGTTTCTGTTGCTTTCGTTTGTTCGTTCGGTTATCTGTGCTGTGTCTGAAATCGCATCTCTCTTGAGTAGGTAGCCTACTTTAGAATTTGAGTGATTACTTCAGGCCTGCTAAAAAGTATGTTTTATATATCACACACACACACCAGAATCTGTCTGGATGGTCATCAGGTGGTTTTTGCCGACTCTATTATCAGCGCAGTGAACTGGGACACACTGCTTTTGTCATATACTGTTTTACTTCTACTAGGGAAGTGTGTGATTTTCGGACGCAGACCTCTCTTTCTCTCTCTTACACACACACACACACACAAACAAACACACTCTCTCTCTCTCTTTCTCACACACACACACACACACACACACACACACACACACACACACACACACACACACACACACACACACACACACACACACACACACACACACACAAACAAACACACACAGAGAGAGAGAGAGAGATTCATATCCACAGAAAACATGTCATTTGTGTGCGATTTCTATGGATTTAACTCTGTTTACAGTTTTTGCCCATTGCTTGAACACTATAGACCCATGCTTAGACTAAAGTAACACAACTTGAAGCTTTTGTTACCATACCTCAAACACATGTGCGCATACCTTAAACAAAAGCGCTGCTTTGCACTAGTTGCAATTCTGCAACACACTTACTCCTTTATGCAACACACTTGGTCCTGCATACTACACTCTATTTCATACATAAGACACTTCGTTCAAAAATGAAATCTCAGGGTGCCATTTGTATAACACATGTATCCAAAATACAAAACACATCGGGTAATTGAAACCACTCAAATACACACTTGAAGGCACTTACTTGCAAAACTGAACACCAATCAGCCAGCTACAAAAAGCCCTCAGTTTAGCCATTTCAAGAACTTTGCAAGCATGGATGGAGGGAGAGCAAGAGGCAGAGGTAGAGGAAGAGGAAGATGAAGAGGAGGACAAGGTCAAAGTCAAAGCGGCCATGCACGGACCCCTATTTTTGATGATATAAGAGCAACTTTGGTGGACCATGTCAACAACCATGGCCTGACTATGAGGGAAGCTGGGCAGAGAGTCCGCCCACATCTAAGCCGTTTCACAGTGGCATCTGTAACAAGAACATTCCGACTAGAAAACAGACATGTCTTCACCTCTCTATCTTCTACTCTACTATTATTTACAGCACTGGACTGTATATCACATTACCACATCACGTGTACAGGGTATTGCAGGGTGCTAATGCACCTTTTGCAGCCAAAGTGGTAGTTTTTGCGAAACATACCATGATGATTACTTACAGTAGATTGAGATGTTTTAGTACAGTGGATGATACAGTATATACAGTAAAGTATGTAAGAAAAGAAGCAAACCGATGATAATTTGTGGTTGTATTTCTCTAGAATGACTAGAAGACCTTCTGGGGGAGGACGCCAACGCCTGTTCACGCAACAGCAGGAACTCGCCGTTGTGGACCTGGTGAGGGCAGACAATGCCATCCGTCTCCACCAGCTACGACAGAAAATACTTGCAGACAGGCGAGTGTTCAACAACATAAACCATGTGAGCATCTTGGGAAAACACAACATCACCATGAAGCAGCTCTACAGGGTCCCATTTGAGAGGAACAGTGTCAGGGTCAAAGGACTTCGAGCTGAATCTGTACGGGTAAGTCTAACTGTCCTTTACATTTATAATACAGTATTGGTGAAATCCAATAGCAGCTGAATATGTGCCATATCAGTACCACATGGATCCATTCGGAGAGCTACACGGGTACCTGTGTGATGGGGTGAGGGTTCAGTATGTGTAGCACTGTAGTAAAGTAATATGTTTTTTTTGTTTTGTTACAGAGAATCTTGGTCATGGATGGAGCTGCACAGCCTCATTAATTCATTTTCACTGATGAAGCTGGATTCGACCTGAGCAAAACAAGACAACGGGGTTGTAATGTAATTGGCCAAAGGGCAATTGTGCACGTCCCGGGCAGCGTCGGGGAAATATGAGCCCACGTATGCACAATTGCCATGCTTTTCTGTATTTACAATATAGTGTTTTTTTTCT